TGTGTGTGTGTGTGTGTGTGTGTGTGTGTGTGTAAAAAAGAACAAGTGTGTTTTTAACAACAACAGCCTTCATTGGTGCAGCAGCACACGGCTGTGGAAGCTGGGAAACGTTGGCGTGAATGGGGCTCGCCTCAGTCACACAACAAACACGCTGCTCTCATTACTTGGTTAGYATTAATTAGCATAACTTAAGAGAGATAATCTCTTTAATTCTGATGGGAGCTTTTTGTCTCACTTGTTGGACCAACAGTTTTGTTTTTTTGTTTTTTTCAGGTGCTTGATACAATATCCTCTCTGCAGCTCTGCTTCCGGGACATAAGCCTGAATGTGAAAGTGTGTTGTGGTTCGTGGGCTCATGTGTTCTGCTCACTGACGTAAACAGATGAAAACAAAGAGATAGAAAAAGTTTTTTTTAAAGGAATGCATATCAGCTGCCTTGTGTTAGAGTTTGAAACTAGCCTTTCTTGTTAAACCTTGAAAATGCATGGTCTCAAGCATAAAAAAAAAAACCTCAGATTGTATGATAGTAAAAACCTCAGCCACGATCACGACAAATTCCAGCTCAATATCTATAAAACTGACTGAGTTTTAGACAAATATGTGTTGGCTAAATTTGATCCGCTGTGGCGGTCCAAAAGTTAATCAGTTCTAAATCCACATTCACTGATTATTTTCTGAAAGTTTCATTATAATTAATCCAGTAGCTCATGAGATATTTTGCTGACAAACAWGGTTGACTGCAWCATTTAATGCTCAAAGTTTAAGCAAAGCTCTTACACAATGAGCAGCACTTTGAGTATGTGTTTAGAATAACTCATAGCTACTACTACACCAAATCTTAACATAATATCTGTAAAACAGACTGAATTAAAGCCATTTTTTGTGTTTTGTGTCAGAGTTATTTTCTGCTTTGAGTCATAAGAACTTGACTTGAGTCCAGGGGCGGAGCCAGAAGGGTGGTTGGGGTGGCAAGTGCCACCTCTGGCACACACTGATTGGCCACCCCAGGTGCCACCCCCAAATTAGACAAGCAGGTGGAGATGGACTTTGTTTTGATTTAGTTAAATGCTGTTCTCTTGAAGAAATTTATTGGGTTGTTTACTGCTGAGTCTTTTAAAAGCACCACACATTTAATAGTCTTTTCTTGGGTGAATAATGATATATTTTTATGAACTGTTGTGTGACTAGTTTTGTGATTAAATTGATGATTTTGTGTACAGACTGGTCTGGGTAGCTGTAAATTATGGTTACACAGGGCAGGAGGTACTAATAGATAAKATTCATGCCTGAACACACCTTCAACTCTTAATTGAACCGTTGGTTTATCATTAGAACAAATTGTATGAGGACCTGACTTTCAGCCGTAGGCTGGCCATTTATGATGACACAATAAAAACAGGCAGAGTCAGGTCCTGAAGATGATGTTATATTGAAGGGACTTCCTCAATTAAGGGGCTGAACGCAGAACTGAGAATAAACTGCCTTCAGACCGAGCGCTGTGTGGTTGTATGAACTCTTCACATTCAACATTCACATATTGGTGTATTTTCTATCTGGTACAAACATGTAATAAGGTAAACAAACAYGTTAATCRTTTTCTTTCACTCTGTATACATTTCCAGATGTGTATGTTTAAACATGGATGGATTGTAGCCCTTTGTAAAATTAGCATGGCTAGCTTAATTTGGGATTAGCATCAGCAATGAGCATGTGATCATTCTTTACAACAAATTTTGTGAGGTTGTGTGCAGRCAGAATGAYCCAGGGTGCAGGCAAAATCCAAAATGCAAAAAGCTTTATTTAAATAAGGAAGGCTGGCAAGGCAGCTACAAAAAYTCAGTATCTTCACAAGGAGAATTAACGAGGAACAAGGAGGACAACCACCTGACTGATGAACAGTAAAATGATTGGACAAACACTGAAGACAGGACACAGAATATAAAGTGAGAACTTAACAAGACAACAAGAAACACCTGGAGGAGACACAAGTGGAATCAGGTGAGTAGGGGAAGGCAGGAGGAATGACAGAAAACATGCAAGGAAATACTGAAACACTGGAAAACTAAAACAGAAAAGACACAAACTGTGACAAATTTCATCTCAATAAGTCTTTAAATGGATGAATTATAGCTATTTAATGTTAGCTGTGGCGGCCATCTTGAATTTTCTAATCCAGAGTACATTTCTTTACTTGTTTGTCTCCCTCCCGTAAACACCTTGGCCACCCCATACAAAATAGTCTAGCTCCGCCCCTGCTTGTGTCATCTAGCTTTCTACCAGGCAGTTATGGATTACAGATTATGATTTACCTGTCAGATTACCTGCGGTGAAGAATCAAACAGAGCTGTTATCAGAGGCCCTGAAATCTGACATTCGGTTTAAAACATTAGCATTTACTGTCACATTCCTTCTCAAATAAATGAGTTCACTAAATTCATCAGAGCACAGTTCCAGATWGAGACGCACATTCTGAAAATAACAATTTCTTCATGTCTGAATGTGTCAGAACCTTTGTTGTCGTGACGCCCTGTCTCTGTTTTGACACGCAGTATTGACTAGGAGCGCTGGCAGCTGGAGGTCAGTTTCCTGGACACCACCGCGCCGACAGAAACTGGTCGATGTGAGTGTGCGTGGGTCAGGGCGGAGCCGTCGGCTGCTGTGGAGCAACGCAGCTTCATCAGCCACGACATGTGTGATGTTTGGGTCAATAATGGGGCTGATTACTGATTACGTAATTAGCATGTTAACAATGGGATCAAGCTTAAATATGGTGCTGTGAAAAGTATTGGCCCTGTTTTTGCCTTTGTTTGTCACACATTTCAGATCATGAAACAAAGGTTAATATGAGCCAAAGAATACCTCAGTAAATATAAATAATAATTAAATTGTCCAAGTAACGCCCTAAAACTACCAAACTACCAAATTTCCCTCTGGGATCAATAAAGTATTTTTGAATTGAATTGAAACCTAAWAACTGGTTGTACCATCATGGCTCTGTGAAAACCGATGACCAGTGTTTCATATGACTGCAGAGGCCTTTAGCTGCTGGGCTTTGGCTCAGGACCACAAGTGCACCTGAGCTCAAGGTCCAAACTGAGGACCACATACTCTCCTTCAGATTTTTCTGTGCTCAGAAGTGGTTTTTGGCTTTGGAAAACTCAAGCCCATTTTTGCCCTTCAATTTCTTATTGTTGAATTGTGGGTTCTGACCTAAACTGGTTGCCAAATCGAATCCCTTCCAGGTGACCTTTATGGGTAGAGTTTGCATGTTTTCGCTGTGCCTGTGTGGATTTTCTCCGGTTGTTACAGTTTCCTTCCACAGACCAAAAACATGAATGTTAGACTAATTTTAAACTCTAAATAGTCCCTATAGGTGAGAGTGAAAGGGTGAATGGTTGTTTGTCTTGTTTGTCTCTGTGATGGACTGGAGACATGTCCAGGGTGTATCTCCTGGATGGATGGATGGATGGATGGATGGATGGATGGATGGATGGATGGATGGATGGATGGATGGATG